TAAATAAACATTATTTATTGAATTAATTTGCATTTACATATTTATAAAAAAAAGTTACATGAAAATAGAAATTTACATTGATTGTTTCATGAATTCAGAATAATATCGACTAACGTAATAATATTTTGGGGTAATGGTTAAAAAAGTTCCCCTTCTAAACTTTAGAAGGAACTTTTGGGAAATCGAAAAGGTTATAGGCCCATTGTGTTAACACTATTAGTGAATGCGATTGGTTGAATTCAATTGTATTCATTGTATAAATGTATTGTTAAGTGAAGTACGGAGCTTCTGGTGTGGTTTTAAAGAAGAACGTGCCGACGGCATTTCTGTCCACGTCTTCTCCGTAGATGGTCTGCTCGTTCATGGTGCAATACCCGTTTTCGTAGTTTCTATAAGTGTCGCATTTATAGGCAATTTGGTTATCATCGTTGATGGACTCGATGAAGAAGAGGTAACTGTGGATGTGGCTGCAAAACACTGAAAAAAAAAAGATAGACTACGTTGTAATTGATCAACGTTGTTCATATACTTACAGATTTGAGTCAAACTGAGTTGATTGTCGTAGCTCGTGATCGTGCATCCGGGCTGCGGCCTGACGCCTCCGTTTGGCATGAAATCGACGGTTCCGATCGGATCTCTGAATCCGAAGATCCCACCATCCGTATGGGTAACATCCACGAAGTTGGCATCGCCGACGGCCAATCTGTCCTTCGCGTTCATCCCCTCGAACTCAGGTCCGGCCGGATCCAGACCGCTGATCCTGTCGATCTTCTTGCCGATCAAACGCTGCACCGCCTTCCCGGTGAAGCCGCTCACCTGACCTCCCAGAGAATGCCCCACCACGTGCACCTTCTCCAAACCCAAGCCCAGATACTTGTTCAGCTTCACGATGAACTCTCCAACGCTTTCACCTTTCATAAAACAAACAAATTGTTCGAACATTGGAGGAAGAAAGAAAAAAACGCTTACCGATTATCCTAGTGTTTTCCGCCGAGATCGTGTACAATTGCGCCGCCTCTTTCCTCCAATCCACCTGGATCACATTGCAATCGTACCGCAGCAGATAAGCATCCGTCAAAGCCGTGTACCAATCCTTGTCGGCACTCTCTCCCCATCCGTGAATCATGAACTTGACGGTGAGATTCGCGTTCACTAAACGCAAATTATCATCAGTGATTTCCGTCTTCAACTCTGGCGATTGCCGATTCAACAGGTAAAACCTGGCGATGGCGTCACCTCCACCTGAGAATAAGAAACAAACTTAAAATCCTGGCAAAATCAAACGACAATACCTACCGATGAGAACTAGTAGAAGCAGAAGCATCGCTGCTTTTTTTCAGTCTCCACTTGTTACCGGAACGGGCAGCACTTTTTATATGTTTCCCATTAATTTCAGAATGCACCTTATGCTTATTATATTTTCTATAAATAATGATATTTTGTTGTTTCGCGTGCCGATCACGAACAATCCGATTCCTGGTGTCATTTCGAGCATACCGTTTAAGATAATTGTAATAATATAAATCGAACAAATATAGGAAAATTACACCGGTACGGGCAGGCAATTCAATGCAAATTGTTGTTTGTTGTTGTTTTGAAAATTTAGGAATTATTTTTCACGCACCGTTTTTCCTCATTCATTTAACAAGAACGACGGCCGTGAAAAACAAAGTTATTTTCATGTTCACTTCATTCGATTGTCATTGCATTTGCAGATCGCAGTTGGCTTGGGAAAAACAAAATATAACTTGCCACTGTTTCAGTCTGTAGCTTGGATATTAAGAATGACAGTAAGACTCACTCATCCTATACCTCCTATATATAACTTGATTATCTTTGCAGAATCTGAAATCACAGTAGATGAATAGAAAAGATTAAATCGATGTTGATAGTAAATACCTGATCTGGAAAAAAGTCCTTAGACCATAAAACCACAGGTATGCAATTAATTAGTTTGCTACTTTTTTCTAATAGATATCATTTCCAACATCGAAAATACGAAAAAAATACGAAAACAGGTGAGTCGATGACAGCACAAAGATGTATATATGCTTGTTGGAAAGATGAAATATTCAGCTTTCATAAGAGTGGTCGATGATGTAATTATCTTAAGGCAGTGGTTTCCAAACTTGATGTTACTACTCCTCCCTCAAAAGTATGTAATCATTTGGCGCCTCCCCAACCCTTCTCCATTTCATAAAAGGAACAAGTATTACAGCACTATAGATAAGAGCACAGGAATCTATCTATACTTGCTAGATTCCTCAAACATTCAGCTTTCATAAGCATCTTTTGGATTCATTCTATGTATTATAGTCTTCGAGAAAATCAATGAAATGTAAAACCACTGCTTTTTCGAGCATTTTTTAAATTTTCAACACGAATTACAGCCAAACG